AAAGGACTGGAGAAGTGGTGCCCTTTGAACTGAAAACTGCAGCAAACAGCAAAGCAATTCTTTCCTAATTTGGCAACCCACTGCAGATTAAGTGAGTTTCAGACCTCTTGGATAGGAATGTAGGAGTTTCAGACCACTTGGCTTTTAGTGTAATTCAAATGAGCTATGAGTCTGATGCACACCTTACTGGGTCCTGTGTCCTTATGTAGGCAGTAAGAACAGATGTCCACAATAGTCCTTTTGGCCCCTGAAATCTGCACTCTAGTGTTCAGGATGCCGTCAAGTTATGCTTCATTTTTCAAGAATGGTTCTGCTTTGGTATATAACAGCGGACATAGCAAGGTTTGTTTTGCATTTGAATGAACAAATAAGATGCTCTAACAGGGCTGTTAAGTACTACAAGCAAAATGGTTATTGCATGCAGTCCACACAGTTCAGCTTTGTTTGTTTATACTTGTCATCAGGTATCACAAAAATGCTATTGATTGTTAGTGTTAGAGTAAATATCGGAAATCTTCATCAAGATTAAAGGTCAGTAATTACCTATAGTATCTTTTCATTGAACAAGTAAACAACAAAAACAAACAAACAAAGCCTGTCTTAACATTTGCCACCAGGTAACTATGCATGTTGTTAGCTTTTATCAATATGTAATTGGATCAGAATATCGCTTTGCTTTTTACTGTTTATTACATTCACTTTTATTTCTTAAAATATATGAAAGGCACAGAGTTTGGGTGATATCTTTTATTGGGCAAAATTAAAAACAATTGCTCTACCTTGTACTTAGCTTGGATGGTAACTGCTTCTTTTCTAGACCCAGTAAATGGCCCTTGGTGGGGGAGACAACAGACAAGTTTTTAGGCATCATTATGATCAAAGCATCTCAATAACGTACTCAGGCTCTATAAGTATCTATACAAATAGAACGAATACAACTGTTGTGCTCAGTTTGTTTATTTTATCCCAGTTTCTGTGTCAGTGGGGTAAAAGTTTGTTTCAGATTTAAATACATATTCCATCTGTCTAGCACAGAAAATCATCTATTACATGCTTTGGTACAAATGTCTCATGTGAAGATCCCTTGAAATATCTTGGATGTCACATTTGTATCTCAGTGAAGGACTGTCTCCTTTCCTGTGCCTTCAGATCCCATCTCTAATGGCTTTCTCATATGTGCCCACTTGTCACCCGTTCCTCATCCCCCTAACAAAGAAACATGACAAGACATTATCAAGGCTCAAGAGATGTATTAAAATTTAGCATGTCCTTAAGGATGGATGTATTTTACTTCATCCATCTCTTTGCCTTCCCCCCAGGTGGTAGAGAGGGACTATCCCATCTTGGCTCTGACCCTCCAGTCCTGCTACTGTTGTTGATACTGCCGTTGACTCTGTTGTCATGATTGATTCCTTGCTGACAGGCACATAAATCATGTCCATTCATAATGAGTACTGTCAGCATTCACATGTATTAGGCATGTTTTTGCTCCAGCACACTTAGCGCCATGTGTGCAGCTTTCTGTTACATCAGGGTTTTGAGGGGAAGGGAGTTAGCAGTTTATACATATTTTTGTTTGGGCAATAGGGAGAACACAGACCACTGTTAAGGAACTTTGGAGATGAAACGGGATGAACTTTGCAGCTGGAGCCCAATTGACTCAGACAATGAGGCCCAACAGGCTATTCTGTCTGGCCCATTGCATATCAGCAGCTGCAAAAAAAAAAAAAGAAAAAAAAAGTGAAACAATTCTTTCCCACTGACAAAGAAACTGGACAATGGACAGCTCGCTGATGATTCTTGAAGAAGGCACAATTCCTTGGATGTCATGTGCTTGACCAGAATAATCTCATATATATATATATATATATAAATATATATATATATAAAATCTCCATAGATATATATATGACAGAAATAACTAAGAAACTGCTCTTATTTGTTTACAATATAATTAACAATAATCATGACTCCTTTGTTCTTGTCCTCTGCCAAACTTCTCAGAAAGGAACAATGTGTTCCAGAACGCGGCAGCTCTGAGTGGGCTGTGGTTTCTACGTAACCTCTTGATGGGGATAAAGTTTAGGCAGAGTGTGGGGTCATGAAGACCCATGCAAGCCAAGACTGCAGACAGTCCAAATGCCAAACCACAGATCTCCAAAGAGAGCTGCCCTTTGGGTACCTCCAGTTCTTTAATATCCCCAGCTATGACTGCACCCTCTGGCTATAGGAGAAAGGGTAAATGCAGCATTAGTTCACCATCTTCGTTTCTTCTGCGTGTCTGTCTTTGAGGAATTTGCAGCTGACAGTTCCTCTCCTGGATTCTCTCCCATTCTCTGGCCACTTTCCTTTTCTCCACGATGCTCCTCCTTCACCCTCTGTTTCAATCCATGTCTTTGGTTCCTTCTGTGATATGGGGTGAGGGAATGAAGAAAAGAGAATAGGGACCCAGGGAAATGTACATGATGGATAAGGCAAGGGGAAAAAGCCGTGGAAGAAAAGGAGAAATGGGTCATCCCTTTCCCAGTAAACATAAAACTAACAGGTATATTGGTCAAATTAAAATCAGGATACAATTAAAATTAATGTTCCAGAGTACTTCTCTACTTGGATAGGATTTAAAATCATCTGAATATTCAGTATCATGATTTTCAAAGATTTTTAAAGAAGGGGGCCTAAAATTAGTCTCCTAAATTAATATTTTGGCATTTATGGAACTTGATATTTAGAAGTACTTAAACCTCCCAACATGTGCCACTGATTTCATAATCAGGTAATGTCCTTACAGTCTGTTCTGACCTGGTAGCTACGTTAGGATTTCACAATGTCCCTTTCATCTGATATCAGTACTCATGGGTTCTATGCAGTACCAAAGGGAATTTGGATCAGTGAAATGAGCACTAGCCCCAGTGGTGAATTTGAATGTAACAGTCAATGGATAAATTGGATAACAGTACAATCGCTTCCATCCCAGTAGGGACAGTGTCAGGAGTCAGAACCTCCTTGCCTCCAGAACAGTCTTCATCTCAGTGAACCATGCTCCATCTAGCTTGCCCTCCTTCTGGCCCTACATGTTTCCCTTTCAGCCACCCAGTAGCTCAGTTCCAACAGGAAGCTGGTTAAACTGGAAAGTGGGAGGTGTAGATTCAGTCTCCCAGTATCTAGGGGAGAAGGGCCTAGAACCTGGATTTCCCACTCTTTGGGAAAGTACCTTAGGGCATTTTTACAAGTGCTCCAGAGATGGGGTGGGGGGTGTATTAATTACAGCAGCTCTGAGAGCCATTAATTAAAGTGCCCGCAGAGTCTCATGTGCTGAACGCATGGCCTGGGGCTGCACGTTTCAGCACCAGGGTGAGGGGCCAACCACGGAGACATTCTGGCAGCCAGAGCATCTCCGTGGAGGACCCAGCCTCTGGTTGCCTCAGGGCACAGTCTGGGACCATGCCCTGCCACTTTTCTAAACTTTGGTTTTTTTAGACCCCTGGATAAGTGTCAGAGTTTCTGTCATGGCAATCCACTAGCAGGTGATATCTCACGTAACATCTCACGAAATCTGTATGTTACTCAGTGGCTTATTCCATCTGCATAAAGTCCCTCACACTACTCTACGAACAATTGCAACATAATTTTGGGGAATTAGTTTCTCTCATCTCCTTGCTTGGTTGTTGACTCACCTACAGAAGGAAGAACAGCAATTAAGCATGTACTGGACTGGCGAAGCCCTACACTACTGCTTTCTCCCAGAAAGGAAATAGAAAATGGAAAGACTTTGTCTACTTCCTCTTGGTAATCAGCACAAATCCCTACAAATATTCTTATAGTAACCGCCTTACTCTTAAAAATGGTAGCCCAGTAATAACTGTATAAAATGGTCTCCACCATTCTTTGTGTCATTCAAATGGATATTGCAAAAGGAGGAGGTTCACAGAATTCTGAATGTCATAAACACAGTTTAATACGGTAGGTGCCTACTAACCGTAACGGGCAATAAGCAGAAATTGTTGTTGGGCTGTTACTGTTTAGAGAGTTGTATTTTTTTTCTTTCAGTTGCAGCCCATATCACTGGTCTCTAGTATTTTCCCACAAAGTAATGAATTGTATTAAAGAGAAAAATTGTCATCGCTAGTGGTTGTAAAGAAAGAGGTTTATATGCTGCTGCACCCCAGGGATATGAACCTAAGTCCTTTGGTACACCAGATACCAGTGATTCTCATAAACGTCAGCCTTGACTAATTAATTAAGGATAAGGTCTGACAGTCTTTATTAAAACTGCCCCTGCTATTTACTCCAGAGGGAGCTTTGGCTGAGTAAGGAGTGCAGACTTGAACGGTACATAACTATGGAGCAGAGTAAACTTTCAACTTTAAAATACTGGAGTTGAAGTTTTGCAAATGCTGAAAGCCTGTACTATGAATACATGACCTCTTTGTGAAAATGAAACATAGCCATGCATGAAACTGTCCAAAGACTAAGGTTTTTTCACTCAGGCAAATTCAGAGCCTGGCCTGAATTGCTCTGGCCAGGGCCTATGAGAGAAGAGTGAAATTGGGGTACAGTTGTACCATGTCCTTAAGGCTGGCGGTGGTGGAGAGAAAATCAGGTCACTCTTCATTTTCTGATTCCAAAATGGGGCCTCCCTACCCAATTATGTGTATGGTTTAAGGAGGAAAGCTAAATAGTGTGCATTTGTGGGGCTTCAAAAGTTTCTTGAAGACTCTCCCATGACAAAATAGAGAGAAGGCAAGTACCACACTGTTAGAATAATACACATCAAATATAGCTTTAAAATGATTTATTTTCTTTGCCTTCAGTGGTAGATGATGGCCTAGGGAAGTAGCAATAGACCTCCTTTAATATACAAATCAAGACATGATCATTCATCATCTTTGTGTTTTATGAACAGCCCAAGGAACGGACCTGCACCTTCCTTGTATATTCCTCTGACAAACAGCAATATAACAAAGCCTTTATGCTGATTCTCCTCCAGAATTAAACCGCTGGACACATCATTTTTCAATGAAATTTCCCAAGAAATTTCCAACTGATTTCTATATTCTGAAAGCATTTTGGATACTGTCCCTTGTACACAAGAATCCTCCAGAGGTAAAGAATATTCTGAGACACCCCAGGAGTCCATTCATCTTCACAGTGGCCAATAGCATGAAGATTGTGCAGCTAACAGGATGTGGCCTCTTCAAGTAGCCAGGAATCTGGACTCCACCCATCTTTGGAGCATGTGTAACCAAGCTGTTGGGCAGATGAAGAGAATAATGTGGGACTTTCAAATGTGTGGCAATGGGAAACACTGCAAAGTGCACATACCGAATCACTGTAACATGTTGCACTGTTTGATGAATAAAGTGAAAAAAATGAGGTCTTGCTTGCCTCTCATTACATTTTATTCCTGAATACTTTACTCCTTCAGGCATCCTAATAACATTTGTTTTCCAGGAGACTGGGGAAATTGTAGCAAGTAACCTTGCTCCTTGTACAAAAGCAAAGATGGGAACAATTACAGGTGAGCAACATCCATTATTGTACTGGTGACTTTATAACAGGTTTTATGTGGAACAAATCAAGTGGGTTTTCATATGGGGCATTTTATCCTGGAAGGTTTCACAAATCATTCATATACCATAGTATTAGTGCACATCCCACTGTGGAGCAGAAGTAGAAACATATAGCAAATTGTGAACTAGGTAAAGGAGATTTTTTTGCTAAGATCCATTCTTATTAACAAAATAGTCCTTCCCTAAGTGTTTTTAGTAACATGATAGTCCCTCATAAGTGTTCCTGCCTAGACTAAGTGGGAAATTATAGCTAGTTCTACATCAGGCATGTCTGTACTGGTTTACTATAGCACCAGGTAGCATAGTATGCTCCATGTAATTCCTTCCTTTAGCTATTTGGCTTGCAGGGTCCAGTTTGTAGGTATTATCACAGAACACCTACTGGACCAAGCTCTCCACAAAGTACAGATATGCATGGGTGGAATAATTATGCATGTATTGGGCCAGTCAGGAAGAGTGAACCATTATTTTTTATAACTCGTAGCTGGTAGAGATATCTGGGTTCCATGTACTTTTTCAGTAAATATAAAATCTTGGATATTTTTTGGAGCAGTGACTAAAACATACTTCTTCCCTCTCTTGTCCAGGTGAGCACCCAAAGCAGTAGAGTCCAGGTTTTCCTACACAAAACTCTGCTTAGTTATCCACAAATGGCTGGTGTGACCTTGTCATTATCTGAACCTGAAACTCCAGGGATGCTAGGTATTTCATAAATAAGTCTAACACTTCCTAATATACATTAGACAGGAGTTACCTACAAACCTCACAGTATCTCTTCTATCAGAAATGCTCTTCGATTTCACGTTTGGTATAAAATCCCAATTTCAGCTGGAATAACAACTGAACAGAGGCATGACTAGCACATTTTTGCACACTGGGAAAACCCTGTTGGGGCATGTGGGTCAGGGGTGATGAGCGCTGAAGTCCTTAGCTGCTGCTGTTGTGGTGTGGGCTTCATGCCCCTGCTTGCTTCTGCACCCTGCTGCTGCTGCTTACAGTAGTGGAGCCATTCTGGCCCCTTTCTACAGTAGCACACGGGGCTCGTGCTCTGCTCACCCACCCATACTTACACTACCGCAACAGAAGTTAAAAAAAAAATCCATATTTCAGGGCTTTTAAATGAATATATGTTATAATTAGAAAACTATCCCTGTGCATTTAACAGAAGCTTGTCACTCGCTCCTGTGTTCTAGATGAAAATCTTATTTTGTGTCTCCGGAAGTTGCGGTTTATTTCTTTGCATTGGCTGGAGGGCCACAATTTCATACATGTTGCATGAAGTATGAAAGGACCCTTTTTAATGATCCATTAATTATGAAGTACAGGCATCATTGCCAACAGGCACACCATCTAATCAACCATGCACTCCATAACTCTTTTTCATACTGGTTTTGATGGGAAATTTCTACTGAGTGGGCTGTCATCTATTTTATAAATTAAAGAATAAAAACAAGAAAACAAATAACACCCATAATCCAGATCTGTTCTAAGATTCAGGACATTTATTTAAATAACTTAGTCCTAAAGTGGAGAACCGTTCTCTTTTTGATGTGTTCTGCTGAACATTAATGCTAATTGTGCATATTTAGAACAGGGAGAAATAAATTATAGTTCCACCATCTCTCTGCCAAATGGTAACATAGTTTGGGAGCCTTGCAGGGCAATTTATTAGGGGAAGACTTGGATGCTGTAATGTAGAATCTGACTTTTTTAAAGCAACTTGTTTATTTATCCTATATTAGTCACTTAACATAGTTAGTTCCGAAAAGCATGCAGGAAATACCTCTTGTAGAAATCTCAGCACAAAAACTACTGCCACCTTCCCAGAACGTAATCCAATCCAGTTGAATCTAGATTAAGGTAGGATGAAATCTCCAGCTGTTTCAAAGAGGTCCACATGAACCCAAATGACAAAATCTAACAATAACTGGGTGTATCTATGTGAGACGTTTACTGTGGAGTTGACTAATTAGCTCTTCAGTAAAACATCACTGTCTACATGTATGGTGCTATTAGGATGGAGTAAACTAATTAACTCCACTGCAGGATACTACTGCCAGATACAAGTACTATCCTGTGGTGGAGTACTTTACTCCATGCCCCAGCCAGCCCAGTCCCCTTCTACATGTGCGTTGCAGTGAAGGTGCCTCAGCGTGGGGTTTTCCTGCTAGCTAGCCCCACACTGTAGCCCCAGCCCACCCTTCTGCAGCATGTTCAGCCAGGTCAGGGCAGATCTGGGTGGGCAGGCTGACCCCCTGGGCCTCCTGCCAGCTGGGGCTACTCCACCCCAGCTCAACATACTGTGGCCCTGGGAGCATGTGTAAATGCTGTGCCTGGTCTCAGTAAACTTTGGCGTGAACTGGGTTGGAGTTTATTATGTTGCATTAATTTAGCTGGTCTAATAAAAAACATCACATTTACCCAAGGACCCTTGTCTGAACAGAGGTTTTAACTGACAGTCCTGTTCTCAACACGGCTACAACCAACACCCCCATTTCATGTGTAGATGCACCCACAGAGTATTTATTCCAGTCCATACACTGATCACGTGCTAAGAAAAAGAACTTGTAAGATTAACACTTGCTGACTTCTGCCATAAAGCAGTAAAGTTACTGTTTCCAAAACCACCTAAGACTCATTGATTTCCATAGAAATTAGCTAGATCTATTAAAGGACTTAAGCGGAATATAGACTCCCGTGTCCAGAAGTGTGACACACAAAACTCCCTGCTTAACTGATGTCACAGTTGTCTTGTCTTTTACTTTGAAGTGCTCTAGGAGTCCATGATAACCCATCTGTATATGCCCAGAACTGCCCCATTTGTCACACAGCTGAGCAGTGCAGCATCTAGCTCATGCCCAAGCCAAACAGAATACATAAGCTAGGTGTTCCTCTGCCTGCAGGGCCTGGTCCAGAAGATATATTACTTCTGGTTCAAGAGGTAATGCACATGGGTAACATGGAGTGTTTCTTCATAATACCATCCCATGTGGTATAGACAAGCCCCTAAGAGCACCTCACTCATATGTATAGGACCAGTCTCCGCAAAAAATACATTTCTGGATGCATCTGTGGTAGCTGGTGGTGCTAGCACATTTTATGTGATAGAATTGTGATTAAAATATTTAAATAGTTGGAAACTTGGTTAAATTTTCTCTTCAGTTTGAGGGAGGTCAAACGCATACGTCACTTCTCAGGATACTTTTCTAAAACACCAGGTCACCGACTGTTCTGTGGTGGAAGGGACCTCATCTCAAAGCAGAGAACTCCTTTAGATGCTTAGCTGTCTCTAGCACAGAAGATTGTACATCAGGCAAGGAAGCAAAGAGATTTCAACAATGGTGCCAGCACCAGGAAAATGGAAGTCACTCTAGCAGAGAATTCAAGTTTCATTGGGCCAGAGAGAGGAAGCATGACAGTTGCCCAGTAGTTAAGACAGTCACCTAGGAGGGCAGTGACATGGGTTATGATGGGAGTTCAAAGGACTAGTTCAACCTTTTTACATAAATGAGTTACTGAATGAAATGCATATGATGTAATACAAATAATAAATAACAAGCACCTGTCTCCTAGGAGAAAGAACCCTGTATATGAATAAAGAAAATTAGAGGGAATACATTTTTGTCCAGTTCATGAAGATGTCAATGATGATTGAAAAGTTAAGATAATGCCCAGGGGCCTGACTCATCATTATGTTACTCATTTTGTATGTTGGTATAATTCTACAGGTAGAAAATATAGTAGTGGAAGAACAGATGGGTTTCAGAAAGGGCTGTAGCAAAACTAAGTAGATTTGTAATGTGAGAGTAGCCTGTGAAAAAGATATTGAATACCAAGTGGAGCTCTATTAAACTTTATAAGTTTTATAAGATCTTTTGATCATATTTGGCATGAAGCTGTATGGATAAATATAACAGAACATGTCAGTCTAGGGATTAGGAACATCACCAAATTGCTCTGCAGAAACAGTATCAATTCTGTCTGGTGGGGGTATTCTGCATGAAAAATTTGAGTTTAACTTTGGTGTAAGACAAGACTGCCTCTTCTTTCCTTCTTTTTCAATCACTTTCTTGACCAAATGATGTCAGATGTACTTGAAAATTTTGAAGGTTCATTGTTGATTGGAGGCAGAAAGAAATGTAATCTTAGACTTGCAAATGGTATAGATTTTATAATAGGATGAATAGAGGTACTGGAAGAATCATAGAATTATAGAAAATGAGGGTTGGAAGCGACCTCAGGAGGACATCTAGTCCAACCCCCTGCTTAAAGCAGGATCATCCCCAACTAGATTATCCCAGCCAAGGCTTTGTCTAGCTGGGTCTTAAAAACCTCCAAGAATGGAGATTCCACAACTGCTCTGGGTAGCCTGTTCCAGGGCTTTACTACCTTCCTGGTGAGAAAGTTTTTCCTAATATCTAACTGTAGCACAGGCAAGGGATGGGGCCTTCCAGTGGCAGAGGTATTAACTGACAGCCCTGTTCTCTGTTCCTGTTATGCCTTGGTCTTAAGTAACAGAATGGGGTGAGTGTAGATGTACTCACTACAGCTGTGCCCTGCCCGCTCTGCAGGGCCCTGCCTGGCATTCATGTCACTTGAAGTGACATGGAGCCCAGACTCCCTAGATTTCCCTTGATGCAACTTGCGCACACTGCTCCCTATTCTGTCATCTGCCATCACCGAGAACAGTCTAGGTCCAACCTCTTTGAAACCCTGCTCCAGGTAGTTGAAGGCTGCTAGTAAATCCCACCTCAGTCTTCTCTTTTGAAGAGTAAATAAGCCCAGTTCCCTCAGCCTATCTTCAGAATCCATGTGCTTCAGCCCCTGAACCATTTTTGTTGCCCTCCACTGTACTCTCTCCAATTTTTCCACGTCCTTTTTGTGGTAGGGGGCCCAAAACGGGACATAGTAGTCCAGATATGGTCTTACCAGTGCTGAACAGAGGGGAAGAATTACTTCCTTTGATCTGCTGGCAATGCTCCTATCAATGCAACTCAGTATGCTATTAGCTTTCTTCATGACAAGGGCACACTGTTGGCCCATATTTAGCTTCTTGTCCACTGTAACTGCCCATCTTTTTTTGTAGAGCTGTTGCCTAGCTAGTCAGTTCCCAGCCTGTATTGGTGCATGGGATTGTTCTGTCCTAAGTACAAAGACTTTGTACTTGTCCTTGTTAAACCTCATAAGATTTCTTTTGGTCCAGTCCTCCAATTTGTCTATGTCTCTCTGAATCCTAGCCCTACCCTCCAGTCTATCTACTACTCTCCACAGCTTGGTGTCATCTTCAAACTTGTTGAAGGTGTACTCCTTCCCATCTCCCAGGTCATTGATGAAGATATTGAACAAAACTGGGCCTAGGACCAACCCCTGGGGCACTCCACATGAGACTGGCTGCCAGGTAGACATTAAGCCATTGATTAGTACCTTCCGATCCTGACAGCCCAGCCAGGTTTCTATCCACCTTACAGTCCATTCATCCAACCCATACTTCCTTAGCTTGTTTGCGATAATTTTGTGGGAGATCATATTAAAAGCTTTGCTAAAGTCAAGTATATCATATCCACTTCTCTCTTCACATCCACAGAGTCAGTCATCTCATCACACAAGGCAGTCAGGTTGGTCAGGCATGACTTGCCCTTGGTGAATCTATGATGACTGTTTCTAATCATCTTCTTCTCCTCTAAGTGCTTATAAATGAATTATCTGAGCACCTGCTCCATTATTTTTCCAGGGACTGAGGTGAGGCTGATTGGTCTGTAGTTCCCTGGATCCTCCTTCTTCCCTTTCTTAAAGAAGGGCACTATGTTTGGTTTGGTCCAATCATCTGAGACCTCCCTTGATTGTCATGAGTTTTCAAAGATGATGGCCAGTGGCTCTGCAATAACATCAGCCAACTCCCTCAGCACACTTGGGTGTATCCCATCTGGCCCCATGGACTTGTACAAATCTGACTTTTCTAAATAGTCCCTAACCTGTTCTTTCACCACTGCTGCCGGCTCACCTCCTCCCCAAACTTTGCTGCCCAGTGCAGTAGTCTGGCAGCTGACCTTTCCTGAGAAGACTGTGGTGAAAAGGCACTGAGTACTTCAGCCTTTCCCACATAATGTGTCACTAGGTTGCCCTCCCGCCCCATTTAGTAAAGGACTCACACTTGCCCTGATCTTTGTCTTGTTGCTAACATACTTGTAGAAACCCTTCTTGTTACCCTCCCTGTCCCTTGCTGGCTGTATCCTGAGTTTGAATGCTAAAGAAGCTGCCAGCAACCTCTTTTAGACATTTTGACAAAGGACTTGTTCAGTGACCTCTATGAATTATAAAAATACTTGGATGTCTATGATACATTTAATCTGAGGATCCCTGAGCACCTTGTAGATATAAAGGTCAATATATTCAGAAGTGTCCACTAATAGTTGGTCTCATTTTCTGGCTCACCCTGAGCCACCTGTAACCTGATTTTCAGAGCTAAGGAGATGCTTAACTTTCATCAAACTTAAGGAAGTTCATCCCCTTTTCTGAAAAAGCCTTACGGTCTCGGGTTGGACAACCAAATTTGAAAACTCCCCAAATCAGCAGAAAATGTTCATGTCTCTTATATTATCTAGGCATCAGTTCAATCAGCTTTAAAAAACTCACTGCTTCTACACCAGTTTAACATGCACAGCAATGCTAAGCAACAATTAATGGGAAGAATTTTTAAAGAATACTATATTGAAATGTATTCTGACTTACCTTCATTCTCGGTGTCTTGCCAATGACCCAAGTCAGATTTGGGCCTCAACACCAGGGTAAACATCTCCACTCTTACAAAAAGGTATTTTAGGATCAATAATTACCCACCGTGTGACTTGAGGTGTGATGCTGGTGACTTCTTCAAGATCCTAAAGAGCCCTGTTATTTGAGTTACCTAGTTAAACAGAGTTAACCGGTTACATAGAGCTACAACCGTAGGGAAATCTCAAAAGGATTTAGAGATTCAATCTGAATAAGCATATAAATGATTGAAAACTCATCTGAGTTATTTAAATGCCTTTGCTCTTTACTATGGGGTTGGGAAAAATTCATGACAGCATTCTTACTAGCTTTCTGTTTAGATAGAGCATAATGCATGAATTGCTGCTGGTCTTGTAACAGGTCAACCATAATGTTTGAAGCTGCTGCCATGAATTGAAGAGCTTTGCAAAAGTGTTGATGCCTTTGGAATTTCAGAAATTTTTCTGTTTTGATTTTAGTTTCACATGTGAAAGTTCAGGTAAAAAGGAGGCACTATAGACTGGTTAGCCTCTCTTTGACACCAGGAAAGTTACTGGAGCATATCATACAGAAGTCCATTTGCATGCATCTGGAGAATGAAAAGGCTGATCACAAGCAACCAGCATGGGCGTATTAAGAATAAATCATGCCAAACAAACCCGATCTCCTTCTTTGACAAAGTAACTACTTGAGTGGATGAAGGGAATTCTGTGGGCATAATGTATCTGGATTTGAGCAAGGCCTTTGATAAAGACCCACATGACCTTTTCATAAATAAATTGGAGAAATGTGAACTAGACAAAATTACTATAGGGTCAATAGACAACTGACACAATAGCCACAAGCAAAAGGTAATTATAAATGGATATTCATTACTCATATTTCTTGGTGGGACATTGGTGTTGGGGTTCACCAAACACAATTAATACACAATTTATTCTCTCTTGTATTAATAGAGATGGACCCAGCTGACACAACCCCTGAATTTTCAAGAACTTGTGATTAATTAGAAATATGCACAGGTTTTATCATGTCTATATGTGGTTAAATAACTCTCAAAAATCTGGGAAAGTTTCACCTGAAATTTGGTCTTACTTTTATTAATAAATAAGTGGCTTACACCTAAAAGAGTTTCTATTTCAAAGGATCCAAAAAGGCCATATTATAACCGCATACAAATAGTGTAATGTACCTTATATGCAGAAGGACTCACATACTATATTTATAGAGGCTTATACCCACCTCAGTCTATTAAAGAGGCATCAGTGGTATTTTGTTTAAAGGCAGCCTATATGTTTTTAAATCACCCTTTACCACAGTATGAATGTAACCCCCCTAAATGTATGTAAAAGACACTGACAAAGTGGATCCATCTTAAATTTCATCATGTCCATTATGTTACTCAAGGTATAAATATATGTTGCCACATGAAGTGGATCACCTGACTTGGGGTATGTCCACAGCCATGTCTCTGTTATTGGGGAGCACTGACTTTCCCTGATTATGGAGATGAACCTTGGAGATGCTGGGGGCATGTCTCTGTAAGTGGGCAAAGCCAGGCAGGTGATTCCAGAGCTTGAAGGGCCTGATCCTGCGTGGGAATTCCCAGAGCTCACAGGACTGGGCTTCTCAAGCCATGGGAGTGCCTGCCCAGGGTGGCTAGAGAGTTTGGGCGGCCCCAGGCAGCCTGCACTCTCCAGCCATAAGGGAAATAAACATCTGCCGCAATAAAGCTACGCAAATTATTACTCCCTTTGGGGCATTTATGGGATGACAAACAGTATGGCTGTCTATTTGCTTTTGCTTTGTGCTGCCATAAGAATGTTATGGCGTCACAAAATCAATGTCTGTTTCCAGTCTCAGAGTCAAGTAGTTTCAAATGAAGACTCCAGTTCATAATTCCTTTAGTCCTATACTGGTAATTGTTACTGGAACAAGATGGCTATACTTAGGCAAGTAAAAGTCATGCAATGTTTCTGTTTAATTTTCTTGGCAGTAGTGGTGAAAATTCTAGACTGAAATGATATTGTATGACGTCTGAACCAACAGTCTGGCTAAATAGAGCATTTTCCCTCACTTCTGGCTGTCTGGATCAATTTCTGAGTAGTTAACTAACCAAGAATAAGCCTGATTCTGATATCTTCCTGTACTTGTTTACACTAATGAAGCTCCTTTGACTTCACAGAAGTTATTCCTACTTTACACCACTATGAGAGCCTCAGCTATAGGTTCTACATAAACAGCTGTAGCTCCAGGGAAAGGATTTGGCCCTTTTCTCTAAACAAAGGCAGAAGTGAAGCTGAAGTCTGATCATATTGGTCCCTCTCTCTCATCTGAAAATTTACGTTTGCACTTTGATCACTTTAAAAGGGATAAATAAAATAATTCCATAAATTCTGCACCACGTTCCAACATTTTTTACCATAAGAAGTGTACACAGTAAAGCTAAGGAATGCTGAGGTCCACCTGTAAAATTATTTGTCCCCATAAGCAACAATGACAGGCATATGTTCAACATCATTTTGGGCCCAGTTTCTGTGGCACAGAACCAAAGTAAACACAGTTTTCTGATGTAATTGTTGATATTAGTTGAGTTAGTGCAATTCAGTCATAGCTGTGTGAAACATTTTATTTGGATCAGCCCTTAACTAGCACTGGGAGAGGTTGCCTACCTGGCAAGTCAGCTACAGTAGCTTGTTTTCACAAAGTTCTCCAAGTTCTGTACTCTGTGGAGAATATAAAAACATTTTAAAGTACAAGACATGATCCTTCTCTAACTTACATCTGAGTAAATCTGGGGTCGCTCTTAGCAAAGCCCTTGTAGCTACTAAATGTAAGAAGCGTATTAAATCTGCTGTACTTGGGGTTTCCATCCTTGACATAAAACTCAGAAAGCCTATAGGAAGGGACTCGTGTTCCCTCTCTCCTGTTCTTCTCTCCTGCTCTCTCTGATACTGGCATCAGAAAACGACACAATATGTGCACTTTAATGTGCATCAGCCTATTTAAATGCACATTAAAGCATTACTAAAATATGCTATTTTGTTAATGCGCATTAAAATAGGCTAATGCACATTAAGAGTCACTTAAAGGGTATTTTAACACATGCTTCAAGGGTGGGGGGAGACAGCCCTTTAATTAGAGCCGCTCTAATTAAAGCACCACAGTGTCTTGTATATTAGCATCTCCACACTTCAAAATGGCAGCCGCAGCACTTGAACTAAAGCTCATTTGATAAGCTTTAGCTTAAGTGCCCCCCCCACCATTTGGAAGTACAGGGATGCTAATACATGAGACGCAGGAGGTTGCTGGAGTGTGGTAATTACCATGCTCCAGCAGACTCGATTAATCAAATCTGCTCCGAAATGCTGTAATTATGTGTCAGAGCACGCTCTATGCTCATGAACAGGCACCCAAAAACTGTGCTCTATAGTTAATGCACATTAAGACAGGCTAATGCACATTTTCATAGAACTTCATAATTTAACTGCACAGTAGATTTAGTGCACATTAACTAAAGCACATTAATGAACATGTAGATGCGCCCACTACTGTGTAGCAGTAAAAATAATGGTGACAGTTCTGACAGTGCTTCACCAACACTGTGTGGCACCAAAATTGGTCTTTTATAATGGTACTGATGCATACACTAAGTGCTCTAATGCAAATGCCTGGAAACAGGGAGAATATAAGAGAGTGGAATATATGGCCTTTTCTCTTGTTGGCAGCAACAATGGTTTTACATTTTCAAGTTTCTTTTTCAAGAAAAAATCAGAGTTACAACAGTTAGAATAAGAGAGGGAGGGTAATTGCTGGATCTGTTACAGTCAATGGAAACTCTTTTGTTTGACGTCAGTACTGTCAGAAATTCACTGAACTCCGGAAGGGATATAAATCCTTATGCTTCAGGCCATTGGTCTATTAAGTAATAACTCAGTTGTAAATAAGCAATGCTGGGTGAAAAGAAAATTTTCCTGTGGTAGTTTATTCCTTACCTTCCCATGACTGGGTTTCCTGCACTTGCTTTTGGACAAGCTGGTATGGACCACTGTCATAGATATTCTTCTGATGTAATCTAGCCCATCACTAGAAATTTAGATGAAAAAACAAGAAATTGGAGGGAGGATGTCAATAGTCATATTATTGGATTTTCAGGCTCAGAGGCCACCTCTGGGTATGACCTATGGAAAAAGGAGCATGTTTTAACCACTGGTTCAGCAGTTCAGAGCATCTCAGAATAGAGGAGCCACTGTTAGAGACTTGGACAGGCACTCCCAGTCTGGTTTTAAATATACCACACACTTTTCTTGGGTGAATGTTCTGCAGATCCATTGGCAACATGCTCTACATGGTAGCTGGTATTCAAACTACAGGCTCCTGAGCTGATCTCACATTCACAGAAGGTATTTACAGAAGGCCTCATCAAAATTCCATTGAGTTAATTTTCCTTCCTAGGCTGAGGTCAATCTTATAGTTTATCACCCACGTTGGAAAGAGGCAAAGCTTCAATAATTACAGTACCTAGCTGTTAAACTGTACTGTAATCTTCAGAGCTCAGCTCTGGGCCTGATTCTTTCAAAAAGAAGGATATTATGCTTGAACGATGCGTGCCCCTGAGGCTGGGGGGGCACAGCGACTGTCTGCAGGTGGCGGTGGCAGCAGCAGGGTGTGGCGGTGGTGAACGGGGAGCTCCCACAGGTAGATGCAGTGGTGTTGGTGGTGGGGAATGGGGGCAAACACTGACTGCCCACAGGCACTGCCAGCAGCATCAGCGGCGCTTCTTTTAGGGGTTGCATTTCAGGGGGTGCACATGCACCCGCGTGTACCCTCTACGCATTGCCAATGATATTATGCCAGATTTACAGGTGGGGAAACTGAGGCATAGGGAAGTGAAGTGACTTGCTCCAGGTAACTTAGCATGTCAATAGTAGAGCCATATACAAAACAGTGCCTAAATCTCAGTCCAGGGCTCTGTTCAATAGGCCACCTTGTGTTTCTAGAGGATCAGTAATATCCCGAAATTAAAACAATAAAATAATTGAGAGGAGCTGATTATTAAGTTGTTTTTCTACTTAGAACATCTTTACCATGAGACCTGGATGTATATTTTTGGTGATCAGTAAATTCCTCACAAAAATGGAGTTATTTTTAAATTTATAAAATTAATCACAGTTGGTGATTTTTTTGTTCAAGTAAAGAAAAAAATTGGAAAAGTCAAAGTTTATTTTGGTACATATTTTAAAAAGTTTGACTTTTCATTTCAAAATTGCATTTTAAATTTTTTAAAGAAGGGGGGAAGTTAGATTTAGCCTAACAATTAGTAAAATCCAATCAAGTTATGTATCCTCATTTCCAGGAGTGAAAGAATGGAACGAACATGGGCACAGGTGGATCTATAATAAAGGGGGGTGGTAGATGGTGTAGTGCATTATCACATACAACACAACACACATTTTTTTCCAGTTAAAAATAAATTAAAAGCTTTACTAATAAGTAAGGTCCTAGATATATATTATTCTGGTTAAGATTGGAGGGGGAAAATCTTACTGGAATGTGCATTAATTTGATATATCATATATTATATATAAAAACACAACAAACAGCAAAAACAATCCAAAAGTGTTGTTTCATTGGTCCTGGACTCATTATTGTTACAAGTACATCTCTTTTTTCAGATTCATAAAACAAAATCAAGCATTCTTGAGCATCTGAGCAGTGCCTCTTGTGTTTCGTTGAGAGTGATTTCCACACCTGAGCTAATGTTCATCTGAGTTAATATTTCCACACCTGAGTTAATGTTCATAGCTAGAGGTAAAAAACAGTCCACAGGGTTGTGAAATGGGAGGTCCGTTGTTGGACTAGCTGATAGACAGCAACATTGTAGAAGTATAAATGGAGTAGTGGAACCATTTAAAAGCATCTCAAAAGAAAGAGGGTCAGTACCACCTGTGAAATGGAGAGTTTAGAAAGATGATAACCAAGCAAATTATAATGAGCCTTTATATCAGTTGACTCCCTCACTGCTGCCTGAATACAAATGTGACTGCCACTGCTAGGCAGTGATCTTTAAACTTTGAATGGACCAGGAATCAAAAGGTGGTGCAAGGGCACCAGTGCACCCCCACTGGGTCCACCTCTAAACATGAGTTGCTGTTACTTCTATTTGTATATACCTGGAAGGTGCTCAGATACTGTACTAATTGGGATCCATATATACACCCAGATCTACATTGCATTTGTATCTACAGTTACAGGAGCAAACACAAGTGCTGTCAATAGTAGAACCAGTGTAATTACTCCAAAATCAATACTTTTCTGATGGTAAATGAAACAGGAATTCTTTAATGTGTGCTCATATGTTTAGCTAACACTATGCATTGACATTTCTTGTGCAGAACCAGAGACCGTAGTATCAATATCTTCAAATTATTTACAGAAAGGCTGCCAATTACCTACCAGATAAACAGGCATTTTAGACACAAATAGCTAACACTGGAAGTCATCTTTTACATGTTCTTTATAACATTGTACAGGTGGCTCAATCATTGAAAACAACTTGTGCTATTCCAGATAAATTATCATGCAAATAAACAATAGTGACCTTCCGCCATAAAGAGGAAAAAACAATCATTATATTTGTATGTGTTCTTTTCTTCTCTTCACTTCAACCAAATCCTTCTGTGAATCAAGATCATTTATCCTTGTAGCATTTTAAACAACAAAAAAGGACATCTGGAAACAGATGATCTGAGCACAAACTGTACAACAAAAGTCTGTGAATCTCACAGTAATCATGCTTTCTGGGTTCCTGGAAAGCAGACATTTTATGCCAAAATTACTAAACTAGCATGCTTATTCGCTATGTCTCCTCCAAACCTATTTGTTTATGAATTGAAGGCACTTGAAAAAAAATTGGTTCTAAAACCTTAGATTTAAACACAGCTAGCTCACACATTTGAAAAGATTTTCCCTGCTGTGGGTGTGGCCTTAGCTGAGGCATCTAACTAGCCCCTACTCTTCTATTTTCTGGAAATAATACTTTGTTGTTTCCTCCTCCTCTCATTTTTTTTTAAATTTTTGGACATAATGGAACAGAAGTCTGAAGTAAAAACTTCAGTCATAACCACTGTGATTTAAGCCTTTAATAGAACACTTAATAAAACCAGGGGTATTGCCACATCCTTGGTGAAAATCATCCCCCAAACAAAAGAATGGAGTAAGAGTAAGAGAAAGTCAGAAATGAGGAGGGAGGACCGTTTGGAAGAGGCTATATAACACTGATGGAGGCAGAGCGGTTCAGGGCATGTATATTCTCAGGCTTGATAAGAATTGTTTTCTTTGCCAACACGAGAGTATGTTACTTCTAATAAAATTAGAATTTAGAAAGGGTTTCTCTGCCAGAGGATGAAATGGAGTCAGGTGCAGGACACAAGTTCAGGCACACTGCCACCACTTGAGGACCTAGGGAGCAAACACAGCAAGCCTGATCTTTGAGTGCTGTAGATGTGCCCTACAAGGCTGCAGTACTGAAATCAGAGCCCCAAAGAGATGGAGGGAATGGGGGGAGGGACCACTGGGATTTCAGGGCCTGTCAAAAAAGTCTTAGTGAATTTGTCATGCCCTCCACCATCTGATGACAAGGATACTGATGGGACGAGCCTGGAGAGATTCATAGGAACCCATGAGCATTGGGATTAAGTAACACTGGGTGCATCTGACACGTGCAATTAATGTGAAGCAATCAACTCTGGTACATACCAAACCAGAGTTTATTGCTCCCAGGTGCCACATTTACACATGTGCCTGGGACCACAACACACTGAGCAGAGCTGGAGCAGCCCAGGGGTCAGCATGCCAGCCTGGGGCTGCTCTGACCTGGCTCAGTGGGATGTGAAGGGGCTGGCTGGGGCATGAAGGTGCTTCAGTGTGAGGGCTGATCAGCAGGCAGCCCTTGCACTAAGGCACCCTTGTGCCCCAGTCAGCCCTGCCACCATCTACACGTGTTGCTGTGCACAAAATAACACTGCTGTAGGACAGTACTTGTATTTACAAGTACTACTTTACACCAGTCTTTATTAGTTTACTGTGGTCTAATAGGGCCACATGTATAGACACTGAGACTTTACTGCGGAGCTGTTTAGGCAGCTCTGGAGAAAACGTCTCGTGCAGGTGTACCCAGTGTGTAGATATTTGTGCTATGATCACCATTTTTCACATGGGGAAATGGAAAAGGTCATGTGCCTTTTTGTGTCACGCAGGTTTATTGTTATTATTTTTTTTAATCAGGCCAGAAAAAGAACCCAGATACCTTGACTCAAAGTCCTATAAGGACCCGGATTTGGATGTTCATGAGGGGGTCCATACTCCGTCCAGTCCCATAGTCTATTCACATACATTAATTAGATTTGACTATTCATTACTCTCTCATCCTAAGGAGAGCTGATGGATCTACTGAGGCTATGCTGTAAAACCTCCACTGATCTTTGTTAATTGTCCTTTGTATTGCAAACATGGATAACATTGATGCTGTTGTGGCTTTTCTATTTCTATTCACTGAACAACTTCTGTTGTGGTTGTTGAATATCTACATTAATTTAAAAAAGCAGGGGGAGAAGAGGGAAGGAAGAGATATTTTTTTTACCAAGAGATTTTTGTAAAGACTGAGTCTCTCACTTACCCCCTTAGTTCATACATTCAAGTCACTTTGTAGTACACAATTGAATTCATTTTTAAAAATGCATTCACTCTGTTGAACTTCCATTTTATTATGTGGATACCAGGTGGATGAGTGCTTTTAAGAAATTATTTTTGCAGTTGTGTTATTGCAATTGTTTTCCTCCTGGATTTATATTCCACATACCAATCTTTATTAATGGAGAGAGAAAAATGTAAAAATATAAAGGTCCTGCTCTTTCCTTAGTGTTCATTTTGGAGTTGTATCAGGGGTATACTGAACAACCAGGTTTTAAGCCATGAACTTATGAACTGATGATTTTATGAAATCCAACACTCACTGTTATTATAATATAATCCTCATTCACTTCATCACCCAATTTTTCTGTAAAGGCAGAACTCACTTTCTTTTCCTGTATGGAGACATGGACATCTATGCTTAGCTCCATTCATCCTGCTCCGAGGCAAACACCTAATGCTCAGATAGGCAGTAACTGAATATGAGCAACTCCTGTTGATGTTAGTGGATGGAAGCTGCTCACATTCAATAAGTGTATATCAAATCCCAGGATGACAATGCATTTGGTCCTCTCATCTGCTTCCCAACAGCAAACTATAAAGCTGTCTCTGGCTCTTTAATTAAGGAGTGAATTGTCTAGACATTTTCATTTTTTAAAGCAAGGAGAAATGGAAGGTATTATTAATTTACAGTGGCTTTCTTTGTGAAATTGATGCATTTCCATCAACCCTTCCATCTCGTAGTTTGCAGGTAATATATTGTCAATGCTACCCCAGTGGCAAACACTTTTAAAAGCAGCAGATTATGAGAATTTGGAAGCCCACAAACACTTCGTTCACTTATGCTCTACTTAGGGACAGTCGTTAATACAGTTAAAGCTTGTTCTCAGTCCTGTCATGCAGGTGGACAAAACTTGCCTGAAAGCCCTTAGTTATGTTATAAGCCAACAAAAAAAGCCATGGCATACATCACCAGATGGCACTGTGATACATAGTCTTGCAAGTTCTTTTTCTTTAGTACACAAGAAGTGTTCAGGCTTTCAAGGAATGCTCTATTGTTGTTAATTTGGGGATGAATGGCTTTTTTGGAGGAAGTACGATGTAGGGGTGTAGATGCAAATGTAGTTTTTTTCTGCTTTAATCTCTATGTGATAAATTCTTAGTCTCCACTAAGGCAATCATACTCCCAAGATGACATGGCAGTGTTGGCAAATCTCCTGATATGGATGAGAAGAGTACTTCTGTCAGCTTCACTTCTGTTGCCTGAGAAGGCGGTGTAGCTATGCTATTACAGAAACCTCCTTTAGCATATGCTGGATCCATTACTATGGAAGTGGCAGAAACCCTGCAGTGTACCCCAGCCTCCAGTGTTGTATTAACTGCTTTAATTCAAGAACCAGGGCAGGGGGGAGTATAAATGAAACCATTTACATTAAATACACTCAGTCTCCACATCACTGCATTCTCATCCATCAAAAAAGCTGATCTGCATCTACCATGTAGCAGAAAAAGATGTTGAAGTCCATCCTCAAAGTACAACTTGTCCTGAAATTTAGTTAATACAACTGCTACATCTTGGGGCTTGATTAGTTCATGGACTTCAAAGGAGCTTGAGACTGAAAACTGGGATTCTGAACAATCCAGATGCACGTCTGGTTCAGGGGGTTGGTTTAGACACACAGTTCTCATCCATTATCACACTCAAGAACATCCAAGCATTAAAAAAAATTCCAAAAGTGTGATTTTAAGAAGTTAATGCATTTTCCCCTTTTGTGCATTCTGGGATTTGAATATTGAGGGTACTCTTTTTACTGAGGGCACCAATAGAGATTTTGGGGACCAATACCAATAGCTATTTTTTAAAAAGGCACATTGGCCAATATCGATCTGATTTCTGATACAGCTGCATCCAGTGAGTAAGTCTGTTGTGGTGGAAGGGGAAGGGGGAGAGAAGGGGCATGGGCAGGATGGCAGACCAATGCCCCCTGTGGTGAGGGGGGGAGTGACACCAGGGGGAAGGGCAGGGTGTGGGATGGAGCCATGGTATGTCTGGAGAGTGTGTGTGTGTTGGGGGGTGGCTCCCGCCACTGAGCGCACTGCCAGGAGGGCATGGGGGGGGGGTGCCCCCTGGATCTGCGTGAAGTGGAGCAGGATGGGCTGCCACTGTAGGCTGGGGCAGGGGCTGTGCTGGGCTTTTCCCGGAAGGGGCTGGGCTGGGTTGGGCTGTGCTCAGGGTGAGCAGTGATGGCGCTGGGAGGGGGGCTATGGTGGGGCTCTGGCAAAATTAGGAGTGGCTGCAGACCCCCCATAGCCTCCTCCTAGTACTGACACTGTCCACCCCAACCACAGCCTGGCTCAATCCCCACCAGGAAGAGCCCAGCTTGGCCTCAGCCCCAGCCCACAGCTGCAGTCTGCCTTGCCCCCAGCAGGAAGAACCTGGTGCAGCCTCGGTCCCAGCCCACAGCTGCAGCTTGCCCTTCCCCACTGCATGCAGATCTGGGGGCACCCCCTCGTGTCTTCCCAGGGTGCACGCAGTGGCAGAAGCTCCCCCCCCATCCGTGCTCTCTGGACAAGCCAAAGCTCCATCCCACGTCTCGCCCCACCCCAGCTGGGCAGCGACTGCTTCAGCCATAGCCCCACTCCCTGCCTTACCATGGGGGGCATTGATTTGCCCCCCCGACACACTCCTTCCAGCACAGCAGACTTACCATCTGCATGCAGCTTTCCAAGCTGCCGGGCTGCGCTCCTCATTGCCTGCGTGCTGTGCTGCAGCTGCGTGACTGCATGGGCATTAATCAGACAAATTATTAGCCACATCAGGCCTACTTCTGGTATAGTCAGTTTTCTTTATATTGGTGCCAATCTGATATCGGACCAACGTATCAGTGCACCTCTACTTGTTTTACATTTTCAAGTTTCAATCCACAACCATGAGGTCAGTCTCTCAATAATGAAAGCTGCAGTGCCTGCTGAATCATATTACTCTAGGAATTGGGGTTTTAAGAAGCATCTCAAATTTCAGGAGACTTGTAAAAAAAAGCCAAACACTGGAACAAGGGTCTTCAGCTTTGGATCTGGATTATCATTGTTCTTTGGCCTTGGTTTACCTCGCCCTGAGCCATATGAATTCAAGCAGAATGAAAATGGGTCTGAATTTCAGGGATCCATGAAGCCTCCAACAGATGAATGAAGATGCATTTTCTTTCATTGGGGAGGACCTACAGATGCCTTACAATTTGATAAACTGTCTAAGACTCACCTCACTCAGTCCAGTCCTGAAATTCAGCCAACTCTAGGGTACAATACAACAGCAAAAGAAGAGGTAACATTGTGCATAATGGCTTAGGACAGGAAATAAGGAACAATAGGCTTATACCAATGGAACCCCCAAGGATCATAAAAATGCCCTGTGCTTGCTAGAGCTGATAAGAAAAAAATTCCAGTATAAAATGAATTTTCACATCATATATATTTTCTACAATATGGTTTAATCTTGTTGATTTTCCCGCATTTTTTAACAAAAGTACATGGGGGGATTTTGTAGAGAAACTGGAAAACTTCTAAGAAAGAAAACATGAAAATGTTCATTCCTTTTGATACCTTTGGTAGGAAATATTATTTTTCAATCAGCTATAACATCTACCTGGCTACTGACCTGGGGAAAAGGATGTTACTGTACTTTCTCATATATAAAAACACCCCTGAATAAAATATGCACCTGATTTTTGAAAGACAGAATGAAGGTAAAAAAATATTTTCTTGAGGCTCTGCTTGGCAGTGGGGGTAGGGGCAAGGGAGAGGTGTTTACAGACAGCAGCTAGAGTGGTCTGGGGTTGCATAGAGACATTCA